GGGCCCAGGAAGGGGCAAATAAGGGTGGAGGCAGGTGTGGGTGTTTCACCTTTTCCACCCACATTTTGATGTTGACGGTACCGAGAGTTGAACCTGCAACTTTCTGATCACAGACCCATCATCCCTAACCTCTGTGCTACCACTCCCCAAATTAACAACTCCTAAAATTAGCATAAAACAGCTAAATAGTAGGTGAAATAGCAGAAATAGCTGAAACTTGCATAAATAAGCTGAAAGGAGTATAACAAATTGAAATTAGCAGAAAGAAGTAAGAAGAAGCACAACAATGTTTGTAATCAGAAAGAATCAGAAAGGAGCACAAAACAACTGAAAAAACCCAGCTGAAATGAGCTGAAAGTAGCTGAAACAAATGTTTACATTTGAACAAGGAAGCTGAAAGAAGCTGAAGCAGAACAAAATGTGAAAGGAGCAGTAAAATGTTGTAAACAGATCTAAAGATATGAAGGATGTAAAATGAGCTCAATTCATTTTCTGAGACAAAAAAGTGGAAGAAAAGGCTAAATATTTCAAAAAGCTAAAGTTGCACCAATACCAAAAGTCATAGCAGGATTGTCCTGAAAGAGCTGAACATTTTGATTTATTCAACCTTTATTTAGACAGGCAAATCCCATTGAGCCTGGAGGACTCATTTACAAGAGAGACCTGATGTATTAATTGTTGAAATAGCACAGAAATTGTGGAACAAGACAGATGCTGAAAAATGTACAGAAGAAAAATGGATCACAATAATGTGAATGCTTCATAAACATAAACAGCTAATTCACTAAAATCCTATAAATGACTGCTCTTTCAACTAAATGTCTGAGGATTACCGAGCCAGGCAACTGAACGCTGCAAACTGGAGCAGACAGAAACAAGGCACAAAGATCATACTCCTTTCACGTTTGTCACATTGGAGCTACGCATCACGGGCATGACCCCTGACCCCTACTGCAGAGCAAAGGGAAGTGTCGCCATACGGTGCTAAAAGTATCCCAGTGTGTGTGAGAGAGTGTGATGAGACCCAGGGGAGTCAAACGGCAGCAGAACAGAGTCAATCACTTGTCAACGTGCTCTGAGAGACACACAAAGCTGTAAAGCTAACATACCACCTTACAACTCGTGTAGATAAGCTGAACGCACACGCCTCTCTGTCACATATTGACTCTACATCCTTCTGCTGGCCGGCCTGTATCTGCACAACGTGTCAGATGTTCTGATCTGGACTTTGTGATGATGAATTCCCACTCAGCCGTGTCGTCGGCTGCGAAGCTGAGCGCCGGGAGACGACGAGATGTGAAATCATCAGCGCACCTCCCCTCACGTCTCCAAACGCTCTCTCCTCTTCACAGCCGGGGGGCGGGGGGGGGCTCAGTTGTTCTCGGAGCAGCTCCGATTGCTGCCTCTCGAGACGTATTTTCAGTAAATCAAACCGCCGGAGCACAAATGAGTTAGAGAAGCGTAGCCGCAGTTTGTAAACACACACGTGTCCACAGGAAGCTGAGATCGGGCCGGGCCTGCAGGATGCTCATCTGAGCCGCACGATGATGGGATGTGGACATGTGATCTGTGGTTACACAGAGGCTGCCTCACAACGGACGAGCACAGACAGCATGCATGAATGGACCGCTCATCATCAGCACTTCCTCTGTGACGCTGCAGTGTGTAAAAACAACTAAAGCCTCAAATTAAATGAATGACAGCAAAGATACGAGTCACTGATTTGTGACCTGATTCATGAGGAATGCCCTTTTTTTTTTTTTTAAATAAAACTGGGTCAGTTTGTTGGAACAGACTCCAGATTCTCTGAACTCTCCGAAACAGAAAGGTTACAAAACAAATGAAGATCCAAATGTTCTGCACGAAAACATCTGATGTTGAGAAATGATGGAGGTGACTATCAAACCTCATAAATGACAACGTGCATAACCCCCATAGGATATCATGAGAGGTAAACCTCAGAGTATGTGCTGTGGATTACTCTCAGCTACTACCTCACCAAATATTAGCTTAATATCTGTAAAACTGACCAAGTTATAGCCATTTTTGTCTTGGGTTAAGTTGATTAGCTGTGGCAGCCATCTTGAAAAAGATTGACTCTAAATGTTATTTGTAGAAATGCATCCAGCGACTACTTTCTGAAAGTTTCAATCAAATATGTTCAGTGGTTCGTGAGATATTTCGCTAACAGACAGATGGTAATGACTACAAGTAGGTAATGACAAAACTTAAACCAAAGATCCTGTGCAATCTGTTAGAGCTCAGAATAAGAACTGAGAAAGACTCTCAGCTACTACCACACCAAATTTTAGCTCAATACCTGTAAAATCTACTGAGTTAAAGCCATAGATCATTCTGTTAGAAAATAAAAAGCTCATTAAAGGGATATTCCAGCCATTTTGAAGTGGGGTTCAGAGAAAAGGTAATGAACAGGTAATGTTTTACCTGTTTCAGATAGCTCTATGAACAAACTAGTCTGAAGAATGTTTTTTATTCTGAGCAAACGTCTAGTCCGGTGGTGTCCAGTCCTGGTCCTCGAGGGCCACTATCCTGCACGTTTTACATGTTTCTCTGCTTTGACACACCTGACTTCAACGACCACGGACTGGGGACTACCGGTCTAGTCCAAGCAAAATCAAAGCCACCACCTTAAAACAACTCCATTGTAGAAAATTCATACCTATGCCTGTGAGCATTTCACAGACCTTTCCACCACCACCACCAGTTTGACACTATTCATTGTGTGGATGTTCATAAATCATTCTCACCATGGACCTCCGCTTTTGGCACAGAACTCATTCCATGTTTTTTGTGCTATTTCAACAATTCATGTATCAAAACGTTTGGCTCATTCAGGACATTCCTGCTGTGACGTTTGATATTTGTGCTATTTTAACTTTTTGGAATATGTAGCTTTTGTCAGCCATGTTTTGATCATTGAAAATTAATGGAGCTCTCTTCGCATCCTTCAAACTCTTTGTCCAGTTTTACACCTTTACAGCTCATTTAAGCTATCGTTCTGGTTCCACTTTTTTCAGCCTTTTCCTGCTAAATTCAGCTTTGTACTGCTATTTCAGCTTCTTTTTAGGTATTTTTCAGCTATTTTATAGCCTTTTGTCTATTTACTTGTTGTTTATTTCTTCATTTTTGTGATTTGTTTGATTACGGCATTTAATCTTTATATAATAATTTCAACCTCTTTCTGTTAAATTTCATCTTTATCATTTCAGTTTCTTTGTTGCTAATTTGATTTTTTTGTAATATATTCAGTCTCTTTCGGCCATTTTCAGCTTATTCTGCTCATTTCTGCTACATTTTCTGTCACTTTCAGCTTTTATTTTCCTGCTTTCAGCAAATGTCAGCTATTCAAATTCAACTCACATAAGCCGTTCAGCTATGAAACCTTTTCAGCTGGTTTCAGCTTCTTCAGCAGCTTACAGCAAAAATAATTTAGCAATAAGCATTCACACTGTATTTTCACAGGAAATTATATTTCTCTAGTTGATACTGAATTATTTGAATGTTTGTAGGAGAAAATACGACATCAGGACATTAATAAAACACTCAGTTTTACAAAACTCAGTTAGTTCTGAAGTACAATGTACTATTATAAAACTTCTGCTAGAAATGACCTCAGACTGCACTGGAAGTGCTACAGCTAGCTGCCGCCACCAACAAATTTAGTTTTAATACCATCTACTGTCAAACTGATTGAAGTTAAAAGTGTATGAGTTTGTATGAACTGCTACAAAATTGTGGAGATTAAACAAAAAAGATTTTTTTCAGAAGAGATGAGAGGCGGGACTCCGCAGCGACTCTGGTCCAGGAAGACGTAACATTTCTGAGTAAGTTGAACTACATTCTGGTAAAATAATTTCCCAGGCTCTCAAATATAGAAGCAGAGCACCACCATGTGGACTAATATAAAAACTGAGCGTTTAAGAACGGGAAAAAAAGACGTTACTGAGAGGAATGCATTATTTTATGATATAATAAACTTACAATTAAAATTTGTTTTTACAACATATTCTAATGTAGCTGGTTTTACTCCTCAGGAACATGAGTGTAGTAAAGTTACTGTGAGGTTATGCGAATGTTTTGAAAAAATTCGGACAAAATTTTAAAAAATTTAAAATTTTTGGCTTTTTCAGAAAAAAAAAAAAAACGTTTATTAACTGCACCAAAATAAATTAACAAATAAAACCACTGACTAAAATTAATGTGTGGCTGATTTCCCCCCAAAAGACGATACAAGGGGTTAATGTGCTGAGCTCCACGTCAACCCAGCTGAGTTCTGCTCCACGCCTCTTTTGGTTCAGCCATGTTCTAAAAACTCACGTCTCTGCGGGACGTGGCTAACTCATGTAGGATATCTGAACAGACAGAAAGAACATAAAGATAGACTGATCTGTGTGGCCATTTTGAGGAATTGTTTTATGAAAGAGCCCACTCTTTCCAGAGCTCTTAAAATTATCCGAATATCACTTTAAGCTATGAAAACTGAGTTAGTGAAATAGCTGTATATACAATAGAAATAAATGTATTCGTAAGAAAATTTTGTTTTTAACCAAAAATATGCATGGTTGATTGGTAACGCTAAACTGTGTCTAGCTGAGTGAGAGAGTGAATGGTTGTTTGTTCCGTTTGTCTCTATGTGTCCCTGTGATGGACTGGAGATCTGTCCAGGATGTCCCTCGCCTCTAGCACAGTGACTGCTGGATATGGGCACCAGTGACCCTTGCAACCCAAAAAGGAAGAAGCACGTAATGATAATGGATGGATGGAAGGATGAATGGATGGATGGATGGATGGACTTTTTGGAGACATCACAGGGAATATTGATGTCCATTTGGACATGACCCTCCTTTGAGAGACAAAAAGCTGTCAGGCGGGGACAAAATGATGAGAAATGGACAAATGTTAGGACAGTGTGGTGCAAGAATGTCCAAGTGTGTGTCCAAGAACAGCTGGAGACAAAGGTCAAGACATGGCTGGCTCACCTGCAGCCTCCTGCGTCTTATTATCCCCGAGTCATCCATGGCGAGGTCCAGCGAGGAGCTGCGGGGCTCCTTGGCAGGAGGTCCCCCTTCCACCAAAACAATCCCGTGAGCCTTTGCAGATCTGTGTTTGGACCCGGCAGGGCTCCAGCATTCCAGTTCTCACAAAAACAGCCAAAGACAGCGCGCGACACAGACGGAGATCCGTGTCACAAAAACAAACGCACGTCCACGGGTTGTAGTAGTGAATGTGTTAGAGAGTGGACCTTTTCTTCTCCTGTGTCCCGTGTCCTCCTCCTCCTCTGCTGTCAGACATGCCGTCTCTATGCGCAGCCGGGTCCTCCTCGGAGCATCCTTGACATTTCACCAGACAGAGGTGCGCGCGCCTCGGTGCCGTCCAGAGGCCTCCAAACGTTCCTCCGCGGACTCGGTGCTCGTGCGGGATCCGGACCGCAGCTTCGTCCGCCGCTTGCGCCTGTGATCACAAAGAGCTGTAGGTCTGCGAAAACAAGCGGGGTTTTCAGGAGCTGATTCGCCTGTCCTCTCCTGTAAACATCTGAGGAGATCCTCCCCCTGCACCTCCTCCTCTACACCCCCTGCACCTCCTCCTCCACATCCAGCTCCTCTGTGTCCGCTCGTTTGTTTCTCAGCCTTCACTTCGTCGGATGCAGCGACCGAAGCGACACGATGTTTCTCCCAGCCTTTCCTAGGATTCCCTGCCCCCCTCCTCCTCCTCCTCTGATTCCTCCTCACATGAATGAATGAGCCTCCTCCTCACCAGAAAAACAAAACACAGTCCAACTGTGGACATGCTACAGAGGAAATAGCTTCATAGCTTTAATATCCTGACAGGGCTTAGCTCTAATCATAAGCATTCTGTTCGGGACAAAAAGGCCTGCTAGGAACAAATACAGCACCAAAAAGGGTTGTGTCAGTCTAATCAACTTTAAAGTGATAATACGTATCAAAAGTTAGCACCTTACCTGCCGTGACATCGGTTATAAAGCGCGAAAATGGCAAAAGTCTTTGTCCAGGTTAGCTAACGGCTAGCTAAACAATTAGCTAGCCAAATGTTAATTAATCAAATGAGCAAATTTAAAAACAACAGGTTTGTCCAAACTGCTGCACACAAAACAATAAGTTGTAAACAAAATTACGTTACCCACAAGAGTTTCTATAAATTAAATATAAGACATCAAATAAAACCTTAAAGATGGCGCACCCGGTTTTTTTTTTGTTTGTTTTTTTTTGGCACAAGTGGCCACCTGCCAATCAAACAAGTAGGCGTGTCAGTCAAGTCAGATTTATTTATAGAGCACATTTAAAACAAAAACTGTTACCAAAGTGCTTAACAAAAATGTCACATCAACAGATAAAAAGTAGCAAGATATATTTACAGCACATGGAATAAAAATATAAAACCAAAAACAATTAGAAACACTGAAATACTAAATCAGATCACGCTGTGTCAGAAGTCAAGGAAATAAAAACAAAAAGCATAAACTCAGTCAGAAACAATGAAATACTAAATCAGATCAGATGACCTTGTGTTAAATAGGAATAATAACAAAAGCATAAACAGAATCAGCATCAATGAAAAGCTAGATCTAAAGCCGATCACCCTGTGTTAAATGTCAATGAGCATAGATGTGTTTTTAGGAGAGTTTTAAAAGCAGAGACTGAGGTGGCCTGTCGAATGTTGATGGGCAGATTGTTCCAAAGTTTAGGGCTCACGACTGAGAACGCTCGATCTCCTCTGAGCTTCAGCCTGGTTTTTGGTACGGCCAAAAGCAGCTGGTCTGATGATCTCAAAGCCCGAGAAGGAGTATAAGGATGAAGAAGGTCGGAGAGGTATGATGGTGCAAGGCCGTTAATGCACTTGAATGTCAGCAGGAGAATTTTAAAATCAACTCTGACACGTACAGGAAGCCAGTGAAGAGAGGACAGAACCGGAGTAATGTGCTCAAACCTGTGAGTTCCTGTTAGTAGCCGAGCTGCAGCATTTTGTACGAGCTGGAGACGTGAGAGTGAAGCCTGACTGACCCCAACATAAAGTGAGTTACAGTAGTCCAGCCGGGAAGTAATAAATGCATGGACTAGTTTTTCAAGGTCGGATCTGGACAGAACGGACTTAAGCTTTGCTATCTGCCTTAGCTGAAAGAAGCTCTTTTGTAGAACAGAGTTGATCTGTTTATTAAACTTAAAGTCCGAGTCTAACACTACCCCGAGATTGGTAACCGACTGCTTTAGATGTGGCTGAAGGGAGTGCTCGTCAGCAACTGACCAATCTGCGGCCTCAATTTGTCCCAAAGGTAAAGGCCCCTTACCTGCAGAAATGCAGCCCTTGGTCAGAGATTTTGTGAAAAATCATACGGAAAAAATGTTTAAACGTTGTCATTGGGGAAAATATAATCCATGCACGTGTTACCCTGAGCGTTTAGAAGGTGGAATACTGTTTATTCCTTTTCAAAAACTAAATAGAGTTTGGAAAAATGCACAAAGCTGGTGACCCCATGATCAGCTGATTACCGTATTTTTCCAGGGTATAAGTCGCCGTTTTTTTGCATAGATTTGTCAGTCCTCAGACTTATACGGCTAAGCGACTTATACTTTTTTTTTTCCATATTCGTAACGCAATTTTTGTCCGACGCTTTCAATTTTGACGAACTGAAACAGCGAGTCCTCTCTTGCCCGCTCGCTTCACTCAGCTGGTGCAGGCCAAGGAACGCTGGAGAGCTCGTGGCTCTGGTCGCAATGGATGAATGGTGCCGTGCCGCCCAGGTGAAATGAAGCTGCTTTGACCATTAAAGTGCATTTATTAAGGAAAAGTTAAACTGAGACACACCTTTGCTATAATGTTGAGCAAACAAATATTTGTTCTATTTCGTATAGGCTTCGCCCTTTAAGGCTATTGCTAGAGGGTTTATCCGTTCGCACGCAACATAGCACTGAAAACTTTAGTCCGCGCCCACTGGCTGTGTGGGCCCCACCCCCGGTCCGTATAAATTACGGTGAGACCGGGCAATCAGCTCCCATTTTTTCTTCAGCCAGCTAGCTAGCACTGTCAAAAGAACAAAGAAGGAAAAGATGTCCAGCTTTGACCGGCACAACTTTTGCTAAGGATGCCTGGGTCTCCGCCACACCAACCTCCTGCTGTCCCAGTGAGCTCTTCCTCCCCGAGGAGAAGCAGCCTTGTTCAAGGTAAGTGCCGAGGAGTGTTTTTCCGTGGCGGGCCGCTACCCGCTGGACGACGCCATCGCCTTTCCTAATGTTTTTTCCTCGCGGTGAATCGGATGATTCCCTCGAAAAAGGCGATGTTAGCAGCAGCTCCGTTGAGTGTTTTTCCGTGGAGGGCCGCTACTCACTGGACGACGCCACCGCCTTTTCTAATGTGTTTTTTTCTTTGCGGTGAATCGGATGATTCCCTCGAAAAAGGCGTTGTTGGCAGCAGCTCCGCTGAGTATTTTTCCATGGCGGGACGCTATGCGCGGGATGACACCACCGCTTTTCTTTGACGCAGAAATTGAATGTTTCCTCCGAGAAAGGCGATACTGGAAACAACCTCGCTGCCCCTTCCCTCCTGGAGAGCGTAGTGACGGAAGAGGAGCGGCCGAGCGGATGCTCAGCCACCTCAGGTTTTCCCACATCAGCGACCACACCGCTCCCAGCCATCGGCGCCCTCCTCTCGGAGCTGCCCGGGATAATCCAGGAGGCTGTTAACACAAAGGGACTTTCCGTCCCTCGCCTCCCTCCACCCTGATCGGTTGATCTGGCGGAAAGGTTGGGCTCCGCCTCGGCTCGTCGCCATAATCCCATCTGGCCTCGCTGTCCAGCTGTGACGTCACACTGGAATGAGGCTGCAGCTGGGCCTGGCAAGCTGAAGACATCCATCTCCACCTTCGCCTCCATCTCCAGAGTGGAGGGTTTTTACCGATCGGTGCCATCCCAGGCGGTCGCGGCGAACAACAACGTCGCCCTGCTGGCCTACAGCATCTCTAAGAGACTGGAGGAAGCAGACCTGCTGGAGGAGACAAAGAGCTCTCTCTAAAGCTGCTGATGTCATCTTAAACATGTGCGCCACCTCTGCGATCTGCCTGTCCCGCATCGCCGCCTGGATGACCATGCTCCAGAGGACCACTTGGCTCTGCCTCTCGCCATCCTTGTCCGAGAGGCTGCAAAAAGACCTGCTGGAGGGCCCCATCACCGCAGAGGCACAGTTCGGGGCCAACTTCAGGACCATCCTTGAGAAATCGCAGAGGTCCGAGGAGGTCTCAGAGACTGTACACAATCTGGTGACATCACAGTCCTCCTCCCACAACCCCCCCCCCCCACACACACACACACACCCCACCCCCGGCCACTGGAGGGACCGCCTTGGCCAGCAACAGTAGCAGAGGCGCTCCACAGCTGCGGCAGCGACTTAACGCTTTGCTCCTCCGCCAGCCCCCTCCATCAGGGAATAGCTCCTTGAGGGGAATGTGTGGTTTTTTTGATGATGTATGTTTTGAAATAAAACAGAAACATCTCTGAAAGTTAAGTTTCAGCTGATTCCAGCCTGACTGTCAGATCAACTGATCTCACAGCTGCCTCTCTTCACACATTCCCCACACAGAACGAGCCGGTAACCTTTAAACAGCGTTTTAAAAGGCACCGCAGTTCGGTAAATATCACAAAACACTCGTCTGCCACGTCAGCTAAAATTATGTTTTTTCAACAGACCGAGTGCAGTAAAAACCCTCGCTCTCAACGAGAGCCCGTTTTTATTTTCTGCTGTTTTCTGCCCACTCACCACGCAGCGGGTGTAAACATGTTTCTCCACAACAGCTGCAGCCTCCACCGGCTCACCTCAGCTCTAATGTGAGACCGCAGCCTGGGCTCAGCACAGAGGCACACTTATAGCATTTTTCTGTCGGAGTCCCCCTTGGGTTCTCCCCGGAGAATCTCCGGAGCGGGTGATGGCAGTAAGGGTTTTTCGTCTGGTTGACATCCATGAGAAACATGATACAACACAAAATGCATGCCCACTCCCCGGGCGTTACTCAGAGTGGCAGCAAGTGTGTTCCCTGGACAGAAGGACGGACCGTCTGATCAGCAGGGGTTACACGCTGCAGTTCGCAGCTCAACCCCCACCGTTCAG